AGAGAGAGAGAGAGAGAGAAGAGAGAAGAGAGAGAAGAGAGAAGAGACGAGAGACGAGAGACGAGACGAAAAGAGAGAACGAGAGAGAGAGAGAGAGAGAGAGAGAGAGAGAGAGAGACGAGACGAGAGAGAGAGAGAGAGAGCGAGAGGAGATGGATAAGAGGAGAGAGAGAAATAAGAGAGAGAGAGAGAGAGACGAGAAGAGAGAGAGAAGAGAGAGAAGAGAGAGACGAGAGAGAGAGAGAGAGCAGAGAGAGAGAGAGAGAGAGAGAGAGAGAGAGAGAGACTACGATGAAGAAAAAGAAATAGCAAACAGAAAAAGCAATGTACAGACAAAACAGCAAATCACTGCAGTGAAAAAAAAAAAGTCAATGGATACTTAACACAGAAAAGTTCTCGCCGTCCATTAGGCAGCGATTATGACGTCATTAATGCGATTAATCAACTTTACAAGCGATGTTTATAGTGCATTCGACATCTGTCTCGCTCCGAACCATTGCATTTCTCGTATTTTCTTTGCTCATCTGATTATCTCCTTATTTTCCTTCTTATTCGCGACCTGATTTGGCTTTAGGTGTTAAACTTATAACACACACACACACACACACACACACACACACACACACACACACACACACACACACACACACCACACATATAATATATATATATACTATATATATATATATATATATATATATATATATATATATATATATATATGTATGTATGTCTGTATGTATGTATAGATAGATAGATAGATAGATATGTATGTATATATGTATGTGTATTATATATACATATTATATTATATATATATATATATATATATATATATATATATATATATATATATATATATATATATATAGAGAGAGAGAGACAGAGAGAGAGAGAGAGAGAGAGAGAGAGAGAGAGAGAGAGAGAGAGAGAGAGAGAGAGAGAGAGAGAGAGAGAGAGAGAGAGAGAGAGAGAGAGAGAGAGAAAGTGAGAGAGAGAGAAGGAGAATTAGATGAAAGATGAAAGAGACGAAGGGTCACCCCGCCCTCCGCCGCCGAACCGAGACGGACGGCCAGCCTCGCCGAATCAGCGAGCGAAAGGTCGTCTTGAGGTCAGTGAAGGCCTCTCTATGAAGTTGTGTAGATCAGAGCGATCACTTTCTGGCAACGGCTCATACGACGACTACGTTGCATGGGCAGACACGATCAACGGTGAAATGCGCGGAGTAAGTTAAGATAAGGTGAGAGGAAAGGAACTAGGAGTTCTCGGGGCTCGTCGCGCGAGTTGCATCAGCGTCTCTCGGGCTCTTCTCGGCGACCATCGCGAAAGGTCATGTCTTGAGGTCAGTGAAGGCAAAGGTTAAGGGAAGGGATAAAAGAACGAACGGGAAGAGGAGAAGGAGAACGGAAAAGGGAACCGAAAAGAATGACGGGCAAGAACGACCAGAACCAAAGAATCGAACAAGAAAGACAAGAACAAGAAGAAAGAGAATATGAAGAAGCAATGTGACAAAACTAGATCAGTGTCCAGGGGTGCGATCACTTTCTGGCCTCCTTCGTCGCAACGGCTCTCCTTCCCGTCGACCGCTACGACGGACGAAGCTACGTTGCATGTCGCAATCCCTTTCGCAAATCTGACACGATAAATTGCAACGGTGAAATGCAATATCCGCGGAGTGCGTAAGTATATTGTTAAAACCTTTCGATAAGATTAACTTGTGAGAGGCGTGGCTGACACTTCTCGTTGCTCAAGATATCAGAGTGTCTTCCGGCCTGGGGAACGAAAGACAGAGGGGGGGGGGGGGGGGGGGACAGAGATAATGAGAGAGGAGGAGGAGGAGAAGAGAGAGAGGGAGACATACAAGAGGAGGAGAGAGTAGAGAGAGAGAGAGAGAGAGAGAGAGAGAGAGAGAGAGAAGAGAGAGAGATACAGACATAGAGAGAGAGAGAGATAAGAGAGAGGTTGATAGATAGATAGAGAGAGAAAGAGAGGAAGAGAAAAGAGAAGATAAGAGAGTAAGGAAGAGAAAAGAGAATATAAGAGAGAGAGAGAAAAAGACAGATAAATAGATAGACAGACAGACAGGCATATATGTATACCTATATCTCTCTCTCTCTCTATCTCTATCTATCTATCTATCTATCTATCTATCTATCTATCTATCTATCTATCTATCTATATATATATATATATATATATATATATATATATATATATATATATATATATATATATATATATATATATATATAATATACATACACACACACACACACACACACACACACACACACACACACACACACACACACACACACACACACACACACATATATATATATATATATATATATATATATATATATATATATATATATATATATATATATATGTATATATATATATATATATATATATATATGTGTGTGTGTGTGTGTGTGTGTGTGTGTGTGTGTGTGTGTGTGTGTGTGTGTGTGTGTGCGTGTGTGTGTGCGTGTGCGTGTGTATGTATATCTGTGTGTGTGTGTATGCATATACATGCATACATGCATATATATATATATATATATATATATATATATATATATATATATATTATATATAATATGTGTGTGTGTGTGTGTGTGTGTGTGTGTGTGTGTGTGTGTGTGTGTGTGTGTGTGTGTATGAGAGAGATTCAAACAGATAGATTATAAGCGAGAGACAAGAGCCTCAGCAAGTGCTTCAGCTCCCCAGTTCACTTCAGGGATTCCCTTTGACGACGCAAGTGTTTGCCACGAAGGTGTTGTCACTGCTGTCTTTTCACAGATTCTGTCACTGCTTTAAAACGCATATTGACAGCGAGCTCAATCCCGAGAAATTTTGCATTACTTCATGTATTAATCGCTGCTTGGTCACAAAAAAATGCCGCTGCTTTTAAAAAAGTGTTTGTTATTTGCCTGTTGGTATAATCACTGCATGCTTTAAGTGTTATTATTGCTTGGCCACAGTTCGTCTGTCATCCGACAGTGACGGAAACGTGGTGGTGACCCGCCAGAGCAACACAGATCCCGGCGTCCAACGAAGAAGAAACATTATGGAGAAATCCGACAGCGACACACCACTCCTACGGCCTTAACATGGCATGGGGAACCGACAGAGACAAAAGAACCAATGCGTCCGAAAATAGTGTTATAGTGAACCGATGGTGACGCAGCACTCCTACAAATAATTGAAATGAAATTGAATGAATGAATAAAATGATTCTGATAGAATGAACGGGCGAGAACCCCCGAGGAGGCCGAGCAAGCAATCAGCATAGGCTTCATGACCCGTGCGGAAGCCTTCGCGGGGGGGGGGGCTACTTCTTGCGTCTCTGCCACGGGGCCGAGCGGGGGGGGGGGGGTGGGAGGGGAAGGAGGATGGAGGAGCAGGAAGGGGGGGGTGAGGGGAGGGATGAGGGAGGGAAGGAAGAGGATGGGTAGGATGGTAGGGGGAGAGGGAAGGAGACAGGGAGGGGGGGTGAGGGAGGGATTGAGGGAGGGAAGGAAGGATCTAGGATGGTCAGGGGGGGGTGAGGGGGGGGATTGAGGGAGGGAAGGAAGGAGAATGGGAGGTAGGATGGTAGGGGGAGAGGGAAGGAGACAGGGAAGGGGGGTGAGGGGAGGGATTGGGGAGGGAAGGAAGGAAGGTATGGTAGGGAGGGAAGGAGACAGGGAAGGGGGGTGAGGGGAGGGATTGGGAGGGAAGGAAGGAGGATGGGAGTAGGATGGTAGGGGGAGAGGAAGGAAGGGAAGGAGGGGAGGGATTGAGGGAGGGAAGGAAGGAGGATGGGAGCTAGGATGGTAGGCAGGGAAGGGGGGGTGAGGGGAGGGATTGAGGGAGGGAAGGAAGGAGGATGGGAGGTAGGATGGTAGGGGGAGAGGGAAGGAGACAGGGAAGGGGGGGGTGAGGGAGGGATTGAGGGAGGGAAGGAAGGGAGGATGGGAGGTAGGATGGTAGGGGGAGAGGAAGGAGACGGGAAGGGGGGTGAGGGGAGGATTGAGGGAGGGAAGGAGGAGGATGGGAGCTAGGATGGTAGGGGGAGAGGGAAGGAGACAGGGAGGGGGGGGTGAGGGGAGGGATTGAGGGAGGGAAGGAAGGAGGAGGGAGCTAGGATGGTAGGGGGAGAGGGAAGGAGACAGGGAAGGGGGGGTGAGGGGAGGGATTGAGGGAGGAAGGAAGGAGGATGGGAGCTAGGATGGTAGGGGGAGAGGGAAGGAGACAGGGGGGGGGGGTGAGGCAGGATGGTAGGGGAGGAGGGAAGGAGACAGGAAGGGGGGGTGAGGGGAGGGGATTGAGGGAGGGAAGGAAGGAGGATGGGAGCTAGGATGGTAGGGGGAGAGGGAAGGAGACAGGGGAGATGTGAGCTAGGAGGCGGAGGGATTGAAGGAGGGAGGGAGGATGGGAGGGAATGAAGGAGAGAGGAAGAGAGAGTTAAGCAGTATGGGAGCTAGGATGTAGGTAGGGAATGAAGGAGGGAGGGAGGAAGGATGGGAGGGAGGGAGGGAAGATATAGGAATGGTAGGTCGCTAGGTAGGCAGGGAGGGAGAAGGGGAGAGAGTGGGAGGGATTGAAGGAGGGAGGGAGAGAGAGCGGAGAGAGGGAAATAGAGACAAACAGACAAACAAACAAAGAGAGAGAGAGAGAGAGAGAGAATCAATGAGATGCTTCTGATAGGGAACAGGCGAGGAACTGCTTCATCGAAACCAGGAACAGATAAACAGTCCTTCTGTCTCGATCGGAAGTCTTGCAACACAGGAAGCTTCAGGTCGGCCGCAACTACAATGACAAGTCCGAGAAGAAGTTCGGATTCCGTGTCGACTTCAGCAAGGAATATTCACGTCGACTGACCTCTGGCGCTCGACATCCGCCCACCCAGCCGGGCTCGAGGGCACGAGGGAGGAGCCAGGTGACCCTTGGTGCCGTGGGCGGGGCTCCATGACCTGGAAGTGGGCGTGTCCGAAGAGGGGAGGAGGGCAGGCGAGGCTATAAAAGGCGCAGAGCGGGTACTTGACCTTAGTGTGCGCAGAGATGGGAAGTGCAGCGTGGATATTTGTGCTGGTGAGTGTGGATGGAGGGAGACAGAGAGAGGGAAGGAGAGAGACACTCACAAATAGATAGAGGGAGGGAAGGAAAGAGAGAGACATACAGACAGAGAGGGGGAAGGGAGGAGAGAGACACAAAAGACAGAGAAGGGTAAAGGAAGAGATAAAGACAAACTGACAGATGGAATGAAATGCAGACAGACAAACTAAGAGACGGGCGAATAGACAGGAAGAGGAGAAAGGGTGAGAGAAGGAGATAAGAAATGGATAAAGAGAGATAGGGAAAAGAACACGAATAGAGAAAAAGTGAGATAGCGGGTAAGAGATACAAACAGACAGATAAAAAAAAAAAAAGGGAGAGGGAAGGAGACACAAATAAACCGGTAGACAGAGGGAGGGGGGGGGGAGGAGAGAAGAGATCGACCTTAAGATCATTCTTGAACAATTGTACACATTCGCTTTTATTGCTTAGAAGTACGTCAACGTCTGGACCTTCAGTGTGTGCGTCTTGGCGTCGGACCAAAAGACTTTTAAAAGAAGAATCAAGTGATATAGTGCTTTAGGGAAACGAAGATGGTGAAGAAGAAAGGAAGAATGAGAGAAAAGAGAAGAGGAAGAGAAGGAACACGAAACAATGAAGAAGAGGAAGAAAAGAGGGGGGCGGAGAGGGGAATAGGAGGAGCAGGAGAGGAGAAGGAAAAAGGGGAGAAGAGGAAACAGGATGAGAAAAGAAGAATATTAGAAGAGAGGAAGACGATGAAGAAGAGGAAGAAGAGAGAAGAAAAAGAAGAAACAGAGGAGGAGGGGAGAGGAAAAAGAAGAGAAAAAGAAAGACGATGAAGAAAGGGAGAGAAGAGGAAGAAGAAGAGAGAAGAGAAAAGAGAAGGGAAAGGGAGGAGAAGAGAGAAGGAGAAGGAAGAGGCAGAAAGCAGAAAAGGCGGAAGAGAAGACTGCAGAGAACTGCTGACGAGGAACACTCCATCAGAACAAAAGAAGTAAAAAAGAAAAGAAAAAACTCGATAATATCAAAAAACTTTCTTTCAAATTGTGTATTTTTAAACTTTTTTTTTCTTCCTCTTCTTCCTTCGTCGGCGTCCCTTCGTGTTCATCTCCAAAGTGAAGGACGAAGCAATAAAACCGAAATTAACAGCAGACAGAATGAACTCAGGAAATCGGTACAATATCGTCAAAAAAGTGACTTAATAATGAAAACCACGATGGTAATGACGATGACGACACAACGGCATCCCGGTGAGCAGTGAGCTGTGCCGAGAGAAATGAGTTTAGAGAATGTCTGAGAAGAGCAGAGAGGATGAAAGTGATTTCTCCAACGTGGCTCATCGTAGGATTACCGGATGTTATCATCATCGACGGGATCATTATTATGATTATTATTAGTGTGACTATTAGTGATGGCGATGATGGGGATGATGATAGCAGTGATAATAATGGTCATAATAATGATAGTGATATTCATACTGATGGCAGCGATGATAATGGTAGTGATAGTAATGATGACAATAACAGTAATGATGATGAGAACAGTGATAACGATAATAATGGTAATGATAAGGTTAAGGATGGTGATAGGTAATAGCAACAATGATATTGATAATGATGAAATAATGATAAGAAAGACATTAAAGATGAAAAAAATACGAATGTTGAAATAAAGATTATAATAACAATGATATTGATGATAAAAAATCATCATCATTGTCATCAATAACAATAATGATAATAACAATACTGACGATAATGATAATGGTAATAATAATAATGATAATAATAATAATAATAATAATAATATTAATAATAATAATAATAATAATAATAATAATAATAATAATAATTAATAATAAATAATAATATAATAATAATAAAAATAATAAATATAATAATAATAATAAAATAATAATAAATAATAATAATAATAATAATAATGATGATGATAATAATGATAGTAATGATAACCGTAATAACAATACTGATAATGATTAAAATGATAGTAGCATTAGTAATAATAAAGATAATAATAGTAACAATAATAACAATAACGATAATGAAATGTTTAATGATAATGACAATGATAACAATAATCAAAATGATAATAATAATGATAATAATAATAATAATGCAATAATGATTATAACGGCACCATCAACACCATGACAGCGATAACAATGATAACTAACAATAATAGCAATGATCATAATGATGATAACAAAAGCAACAACGGTAATAATAGTAATGGTAATGATGATAGGGATAAAAACAATTGAACAACAATGATGATAATGACTCACCATTGTTAGAAATACTAGCAGCACTTATAATCATCATTATCTTTATGATATTTTTTCATTATCGTATTATTACCATCCTCATTGCGCTACTATTCTTACTAATAATACTATCAATGATACTATTATTTTTGTTATCATTTATATTATCATTGTTTGCATTGCCATTATTTTCATTATCATTAATCTTAATTTTTGTTATCATTATAATCATTATCAATTACTATTATTGTTTTGAAGTTGATGATAGCTGTCACTTTTATTACCATTATCTTTATTATTATTGTTATTCTTATCATTATTATTGTTATTATAATAATTATTATTACCCTAATTATTATCATTATTATTATTTTTATCATTGTCATGATCATTAATGCAGCTGTTGCTGTTACTATTATTACTCTTATCATTATCATTATTATTAATATTATTATCATTCCCATCATCATTTTATTAGTATCACGATCATTGTAACTTTAGTATCATTATCATGATTGTTATTATTCATGTTATTGTCGGCATCAATATTATTGTTGTTATCGTTATGATTATTATCATTATCATCATCATTATCATTATTTCTATTGTTTTCATTGTTGTCATCATTATCATAATCAACATCATTTCCATTATCATTATCAATATTGCTTTCGTTGTCATTATTTTTATATTTTTTTATATCAATATTACTGTTGGTTTTACTACCATTGTCATTATGATAATCAGTATTATCATCATCATCATCACTACTAGCATCATTTTTCTATCATTATCACTAACATTGTTTTTTATGCCCATCGTTATCATTATCATTGGTAGTAATAGTAGTAGTATCATTATTGTTATCATTATAATCATTATCAGCATTATCATTATCGTTATTATTAGTTATTTTCATTAATATTATTAGTATTAGTATCACTCTCATTATCAACATCATCAGTGTTACTATTATTGCCATTAATATCAATATTATCATTGTCATTTGTTATTACTATCATCATCATGGTTATCATTATCATCTTATTCTATTAGCATCATTACCATTATCACATTATTATCATTATTTTTTACCTCATTAATATCATTAATATCACTGATATCATCACCATTACCATTATCATAATTCACACTGCCATCCTCACCATCAACAACAGCAACAGCGACCAAAACAACAAATAACATGCGACCGAGTGACAGCAGCAGTGACGTGAGTATTATTAGAATGATTTCGTCCTCCTTGGCAAAGCGAGCTCCCAAGATGGCCGGCGAGTGAAAGGGAAAGTTCCGCTTTGATGCCTTATGTGCAGTCCTGTTCCGCTGGCTGCCTTTTATCTCCTCATTTCGGTCGTGTTTTCGCTGCTCATTTCGACAGGTAGTGACTTGATTCAACTCTACCACTGCCCGTCAGAGCCATTCCTCTCGTTGCATTCCAGGTCACAGGTCACGCGGGTGGTCTTTCTGCCCTTTTGAGCTTTCCTTTTGCGGTCACGTCTCACGATTTTGTTTCTGGGTTTTATTTCTTTCAATATGCTTGGTTTCTCTTTCACTGACCAACATCACTACCATGATTGCGACTGTTTTTTTCTTTATCATTTTTTAACTCATTCATTTTCAATTTTTGAGAATCATTTTCATTACTTTTCACGCTTTGCAGAGCTTGCATCCGCCGTCAGAGCCTCATAGAATGATTTAAAATCCACACTATTTTATAGAACTATTTAGATTTTTTTTAAATAATAGTCTAAAATCCATTTTTTTTCATAGTTTAAATCATGAGTTTTTTAAGTACTTTAAAATCCGTAGTTTTCTTTTCTTTTTCTTTAAGCTATATAAAATTCCATGTGATTATCCTTCAGTATGATTTTAAAGTTTTTTTTTTATAGTTTATTTTCGTTTTTTTTTCATTGAATTTCTTGTTTTTTTTTTTTTTATTTTTTTTTTACAGATTATACATATTTTTTTCACGGTATAGATTAGAATCCGTAGTTTCTTTCTCTTAAACAAGTTTGAAATTCGTACTTTTATATTCTATTCCTTTGCTCTCTTTGTCTCTTGTAAATTTGCTTATTATTCGCTTATTCCCCTCTTGTTCTTAAGCACAAGTAATTTCGTCAAAAAGTATATAACATAATAAAAGTAAAATAAGAAGAAAACATGAGGATAAAGATAAGAAAAAGATAAAAAGTAAGAGGATAAAGAAGAATCAAGAGAATAATGCAGAGAAGACGAAGAGGAAGAAGAGGACGAAGAAAGAGAAGATGGAGAAGACGAAGATGGAAAGAGAAAAAGATAGGTGAGCAGAGGAAGAACAAGAAAGAACGAAGAAGCAACAGGAAATATAGAAAGAAAACCAAAGAAGACAGGAGAAGAAAATAAGTAAAAAGATACGAAAAAGGGAGATAGAAAGAGGAAAAAAGGGGAGAAAGTAAATAAACGTCAATATAAGAAATTACACCAAAACTAATAATGCAGTATCAAAAGAAATTAATTGTGCTTAAGACATAGAAAATAACCTTTGAGATATAAATAACAAAAAAACTCCTTGTAATTTGTAAACATATATGATTGGCAGCTGACCTTGACCTAATAAATAATGACGATAATGACCAACTAAAGGTCCCATTAACAATGTGAAATAGAGGACGTCAATACTGCAAAATCATCTGTCAAGAATAGAAGCCTCACGCAAGATCTTAACAAACGCAAAGACACTGCAGATCCATGTAAATATTCACTCAAAAGCTTCCGAGACAAGATCTGTGTCATTGCGTTCTGTGCAACTGTGCCTTTGCAGATTTCGGTAAAAAAGCATCATAGTGATTTTTTATGATCAGTTCTCTTCTTCTTCAGTGGGTGTTTCTTAGATAACTTTCTGCTTGTTGTAACAAATAAATAAATGGTTAAATAGTTAATAGTAATGATAGATAGATAATTGAATACACAAATAAGATAGATAAATAAAATACAAGGGAAAAGCAGGGAAATATGCGATGTCGAAGGCCTGTTCGCTTTGTTCTGAAGCAGTGATAAAGCATCAAGTCCTTGGCCACATCTGTGCGCTTTCCTGCTCTCGCATTCGTTCTTCTGTTTCCCTTACCTGTTCAGCATGACTCCTTCACATATAAATGCTTCTCTTTTTAGCTTGCTTGTCCACTCTCTCCTTGGCTTCTTCCGTCGAGCCCTCTCCGTCTGCTCCTGATAACACGTTCTCTCTCCTAGGCTGCGGTGCTGGCGCTGGGGGTTGCGGGGGAGAAGCCGGAGGACTTGACCTCCAAGGAGACGCCGCCGGAGGACGCCGAGGCCCGCGTCAAGCGCCAGGGCGGAGGCATCGGCAACAACTTCATCCTCCCAACGGTCAACAACTTTCGGAACCGGGCTGGCACCCGCAGCTTCGGCGGCTCGAGTGCCAACCAGTTCCTCAACCGCCCCGTGCAGGTGGGGGGAGGTCGCGCCTCCTTCTCTCGAAACGCGTCTCCGTCGAGCGGCTTCTCGGTCCTTAACAACGACCCCTTAGGGCTGTTTAACAGGCAGTCGAGCTTCCAGCCTTCGTCGGCGGCGTCCGTCCAGAGGTTCCAGGGGGGGCAGGTCTCGTCCACGACCTTCCCGCCCTCGTTCCAGAGAACAGCTTTTCTAAGTTCTTCTAGTAGGTACTCGGAGCCCCCAGCGCTTCATTCGCCCTCGGTTCACTCTTCCAGGTCCTCGTGCGGTTCTCCGGCTAGGTCCTTTCAATCCTAATGTCTCTTAGAGGGTGATTTTTCCATGCGTGTATCTGTCACGTTCCAGTTTCTGCTTGCACAGGAGCTAGACTTGCAGAGTTCGCCAGTGTAGCAGTGTCAGTTCCTTTCCCTCCCGATCATATACAGTTCCTCAGCAGTTCGTGGTTCCCCTTTTTTTTTTCTTGTTTCGTCTAACGGTCGGTTTTCGCGGATCCTCGGCGCTCAGGTGAGAAGTTTCCGTGGATCAAGTTGATCTTTATATTCTGTCATGGTTGTGCATGATATGTGTTGTTTCATTATATGTGGTAATTGGTGTTTTTTGGGTGTGTGCATACAGTAAAGAATTCATCTCAGTGCTCGACTTGCTATGTTTGGTTGTTTCGAGACAGAGTCGGGTTGCGCTTTTTGCTCCTCATTGACCCATACAGACCGCTCTCTACTTGTGCTCCGGCTGCTTAGAACAGAACCAGTCACGTTCCGGGTTTTTCCAACAGACAAGACCACAAAGATCCGTCTGCCGCTTGGTGGGACAGATTTGGGGCGGCTTTCTCCTCAATCAGACGGACTGCGCAGCATCTAGCAGGTGGTGCCCGCTAG